TTCGATAGTGGGTGAAGTTCGGAGGGGCTAATCGTTCAACTGATATGGTTTTGGATAACCATGTTTCAGTAAGGATCACAATATCGTAATCCTGGCTTCTAATCCTTAGCTCGACCCATTTGTTTGCAACGCTGCATACATTAGTGTACCACAGTTTCAGACTGTGTGGCTGGAAAACCAGTGCTTGTAAGTGGTGTTCGCTCAACTTTCCAACGTTCTCGAGCGCAACACCCGAGGGCCAACTACGTTTTTTAACGTTACAATTTGCTCCACGACCTGCATAAAGCAGCAACCCTTCGGCTCGAGGGGCCCTGGCCCGGTGGGGGTTGACACCATTTCGATAACCGTATCATTGATTATCTAGCCACACTGGTCTCCAGTTTCCGTGGCCATCGAACATTTATCAAACGTCCCACTTTCCGGGCCGTGCCCCGGGTCTCCTAGTTCGGCCATTTTTGCCTCCGGAGTCTGAGTAGACCTACAGGTCGGGAACGGTGTCAGCGTCTGATCATCGACTTTAGCTGGGGTAGGGAATGCTTTCTTAGGCATCGTTTTGACCTCAGTCACTCCCTGCGTATCGCTGTCTGCTTCGGGGGTGACGCTGAGCGGCCGCCCTACCGTCCTTACTGCCTTAATTGGAACAACTGGAACTGGGGTTGGATTCCTATTGAGCATAACAATGGGGGCCTTTGCCCTCTGCACCGTAGGTTTCACTCCAGCTTTTGCCGTTTGCGGGATCCCGCCTTAGTTCCTATCTTCTTCACAAGTTTTGGCCCCGCGGGTACCAACTGTTTCGTTCTCAAAGAAGTCGAGGCAGCAACTGATGCACAGCTCAGTTTGCTTTGGTTTACCGGTATTTTAGCAACACCCGGTTTCGGAGAGACCTTTTCGAGGGATACCTTGAGAGTCTCCTTTCCGGTGACCTTATTGTTCCCTGTCGCGGCTGCATGACCCTGCTCTGGGGTCTGCTGTGATCCCTGCTTTCGGGTATCAGGTGTAATCTGATACCTTCCCTCAGTGACTCGCTTGATTTCCTCGCAGTTACTGAGCATCAGGTCGCGGACTGCAGGGTTTTCGAACTCCACTAAGGTGGGCCTAGCCCTTCTTTGCTGCAGGCTGCCTATAGGATCGATCCAGCGGCCGATCCTCTTAATAAGAGCATGTGGGGGTAACTCAGCAAGTCTCAAGAGGTATCGGACCTATCTTTGTTCTATGTCAGCCCGAGATTTCGCAATTCCCAATTATTGGTTCCTCGTTGTCATAAATGAGGATGTTCCTGTTTCTTCCCATTGCCGTTTCGTTCTCTTTTTTGAGAAGCGACCATTCCCTGTCTAACATGGTAACTTTCCCTTCTATCTCCTTCACGATTTTCGTCAGCTCTTCCTGCGAATCCAGTGAAATCTGGATTTTCACTCCGGTGTTGCCTACATCTGGAGCAGCTTTTCGTCCGACACCCTCCGCCAGTGCTGAGCATATATAGCAGAGCCACTGCAAGGCGTCTTTTCCTACGTAGACTTCGTAGGCTTTACGGTCTAGGCGAGCACATGATTGGTGGTACCAGTATCCACAGCAATTGCACTGAATACCGTCAGAGACCATTTTCTGGCACTTGAGAGCTCCATAGCAACTTGTTTTGGCCATGGCAAAGCTAACAGTGTGCAACTAAGTTCTCTACGTAAAATGTCTTAGGCAATGAAATCACTGATTTCAAAAAGTAATACCCGAAGACTAACCGAATAGCTTCTCTAAGCGGGTTTACAGACTTTTACACGATTAACAGCGGTTTCAGCGGCTTTAACTCACGGATATTCGTAATTTCAAGACTAGGATTTACCACGTCAAAAATTTGAACCCAGCGCTCAAGGTCGTTCAGTTCAAGTGGGGATGCCAGGGGACGTCAGTTCTCAGGCCATTCAATTGACCAGTGGAGTGCCGTTCTCGGACCGTTACTCCTTCTTTTATTCATCAATGACCTGAGAGGGTTATTCAACTTACCCTGTTTCGTCTTCGCGGATGACATGAAGGTGGTGGGATCCAATGGTAGGGCTGACCTACTGAGCGACATTGAACGGGTGGCTGAGTCGTCAAATAAGTTGGACTTGGCACTAAATGCGGCCAAGTGTCAACTATTGACCAAGCAAACAGGTCCCTTAGTTGCGGCCGGTACGTGGGGAGTGTTCGAATTCAAACCGGTAGAAACTGCCAAGGATCCTGGGGTAGTGATGAAATCGGATTTCAGCTGGGGCATCCAATGCGAGATCGCTGCTCGCAAGGCACGGGGGTAACTTTTCCGGCTCAGATCTGCTCTTTCTTGCAGAAAACCGGAAATCCTTGTCCCCTTATACAAAGCGATAGTAAGGCTTCATCTAGAATACTATGTCCAAACCTGGGCACCTCTGCACAAAATGGACGCTACCTGCCTGGAGAAAGTGCAGAAACCAGCTACAAGAATGTTGGAGGGGTAGAGAGGTAAATCTCCAGGCAAGACTAAGGGACCTCGACCTGTTTTCGCTAGAAAAAAGGCAAAGTAGAGGGGACCTCATAGAAGCCTTTAAAATTAAGAGGTGTTTTTCTGGGATTCCTCCCCAGGAACTCTTCACTGATGCCCCGTGTGCTGGTAACAGGGGTCACGATCACAAACTGATGAAGAGAAGGAGAAGGTTAGGTGTGAGGTCCAAATAATTCAGCAATAGAGTAGTAAATGGGTGGAATAGACTACCTGAGGAACTAGCCAAGCTGCCTAGTATTCACGCCTTCAAACTGGCTTTGGATAAGAGGTGATTAGAATTGTTTCAGAACGACGAGTACTGAACAGGATGCGACTGTTAGGTTCATAACATTTTTGTATGCTATATGGAACGCATTCACATTGGAAGTCCCTCGGCGATACGGCGAGAAGTAAGGTTTCTCTCTCTCTGTTTGCAGATAGGCGAAGAAACCGATCAATTGAAGAGGTGGATGCACACTTGTGAGCACACCACGAAAGGAATTCTGGATGCTTGATTATCCTGTGGCCACTACCAGTCCTGTGCAACCTAACCTGACCTGGCCTGACCTGACTCTGAATTGTTAATATTGGCGATTTTAATGCTCGCAACATAAATTGGCCAGCAAGAAATGGGACTGCAAACGCTTTCGAGGAATCCCTCCTTGAGTGGTCCCAATTTTGTGCAGTGTGGCAGCACGTGCTGCTACCCGCCAGATTCCGCATGGGTCACCAACCATCTCTCCTTAATCTCGTCTTTACCACGAGTGAGCATGATGTTTGCGAGATCAAAATAGACCCACCGCTACGGAAAAGTGACCACTGCGGCATTACATTTGAACTCCGGCTTCTGAAGAGATCTATAAGAACCAAGTGGTCCAGAAACGTTGGGATAATTGACCAGGATGAGCT